AAAAAAAAATAGAAATTTGTAAACTCGTGCGAAAGCAAAAATTTCAACTGCAGTACGCTTTTCGCTCCGCAACGCCTAGTAATACGATGAAAGCGCTAAATGTAGAAGTCGTTGCTTCTGGAAAAGATGAAAAAATAAAAAATAAATGAAGAAAGAAAGCCCTATCTGTGGTATTCTGTTCAGAAACTGGAGCAAGAGAATAAAAAAAGGCAGAATCAAAATGACCAAACGGAACCAAAACTGACACCTTCAAAGCGCATACAACAAACACCACTGATGCCGTTTGTCCATTTTTGATTATTTTCAACAAGCAACTAACTGACTGATGCAGTGGACGGAATAGGGCTGCAGTTTGCGCAGTTTATTTGCTCGGGCTTCTAATTCACTGCAATTGTGGGTACATACTGAGCAGATGGTAAATCAGCTGTCAGCGTAGCAGATTTCAAAACCGTCGGCGAATAGCGGATTGGTTGCCATCGGTATCGGTGAATACTATCATCCAATTTATGAGCGGGAAAGACTGCAGAACTTTGATCACTGTTTTTCAAGTCGTTCAATTTTTGTTCGTAGTTCTATCTGCGGCAGTTTTCTGAAGGGTTTACTTTAAGCAGTTACGTAGTTAAGACATCTGGTCAACCTCTAAGACTCATTCTCTTGGATTTTTGTCGACCAGTTGCAAGCAACAAGAGAAAAAAAAAATGTTGCATAAAGTTAGTAAATAATATGCGAGTTTTAAGTTGTATTTTTATAACAGCGCTGATGTTACATACACAAGGGCTACGTCGTCAGCGCTAGGTGAAAAAATGAAAAAAAATGGTTTTCTTGTCGATGGAAAAAATTCACGAAATCTTTTGCATGCATTCTAACCGCTGTATATTTTTGAGAAACAAAGTTGTGTAATGTTTGATAAAGATATTGCAAAACTTTTAAGAAATGAGACGACTGCAGCAAATGGTTCTTTATAAGATATGCACAGTATGACTTTGGACTTTCTTGCCTACAACTTAAAGTGTTAACGTAATGTGTCAGCATCAGGCTGTAATATATAACTGGTGTATTGCTGTGGATAGAAGTAGCTGTCAGAGAAGTGGCAAAACCTGATAGCGAGTAGAACTGCTTAAAACTTTCCACTAAACACAGTCTCTTGAGGATACGTAATTTTTTTTTTTTGCTGAATTCAACATGCTTAACTTCCTCTTTTTGAGTCTTAGTAAGTTGCTTCTTTTTTTTTTGTGAATTTTGATTCATAAATTTTTTTTGATAAATCTTATTACAGAGGCTGTTGTATATCATTTCCAATAATAATGCAGTTGGTAAATTTGTTACTTTTGGGTTTGGGATATTGCTTTAAAAGAGCGAATTGACAAATTTAGCAATAAACTTTATGGATTTTTTTTTCAAGTTATTTAGTATTTCTCCAGGTTGCTTCGTGAATAATAACTATTTCATATCGGTTCTGTGACTGTGCTGTTTTTGTAATTTACCTTCTAACTCACAGCTTTGCTCTGCGTTACTGACTTTGTAAATCACTTTGGTTGGTTTCATGCATTTGAATCGTGTTTTCTGTTTTAAAAAATTTCAAATAATATACCTGACCACCTCTATAAACGTTTTCTTTTTTTTCTTTTTTCTTTAAATGTTGTTCCTTAAATATATCTTTTAGCATTTTTTTTTCTGGTAGTAGTTTGTGGAATCTATTGAAAATATTTTTTTTTAAAAGAACTTGTAATGGTCTTGGTTCAGTTTAGTTAGTTCTAAAGTTAAATATTTCACTTTTCACTAAAATTTTCGTACAGTATAGTGTGATCAAAATTTGTTTCTTTTCATTTTTTTTTGTATCACTCGTAATTGCTGGTAAGGAACTGGGAAGTAACGTTTGCCAGTTCTATTTTTGAACTGTTTTCTATTATTTCTTGAGTCTTTATTGTTAATTGACCAGATTTCATAATTTGCTATTATTTGTAAAGAGGTTTTTTTTTCTCTTTTAACTACTGTGAAACCTAAAAATTTGAAAATCAAACTGTTGGTCAGCAGGGCTGTAAAGTAAGGTTATAAACATTAAAGCAAGGATGGCTTTTTTTTGAAAAAATGGAACAGTTTTGACTAAAAAACTGAAATATGACAGTAAAAAGTGTTGGATGGGCCAAATGATTAGTAATGGGAAAAAGTTTGAATGATCTATTACTGAAAGAAAGGTTTCGAACGGGCAATCAGTCGGGCTAAATTGCATCAAAACCATTATGCATGTGTTGTTGTATTCCATATCAATATTTAGCTGTTCTGATATGTATTTGACGTGCGTACTATGCCCTTCAACAGTCTCAGAATCTCTGTGGTTTTTAGCTATAGTTGGTAATCGACTACTGTATAAACGAAACTTCGATGAAGTTTTTTGGTGGGCTGCATAGAAACATCTGACATCAGTCACTGCCGCATGTTTGAATCAAACTATAAAAACAAAGTGAATACTATGGTTTAAAAGTTATAGAGTATCCTGACTTCGGCACGGCATTCTCTTAACGAAAGTGATCGAAAAGTGTCACAAGAAAGGATGAAAATTTTTTTAAATTGCACATACTACATACCCAGCAACTTCGCAACTTTCTTTTTTTCTTGTTTTAAAATGTTAACGATTTGTTTTATCCTTTTTAGACCCTGTTAAAACTGTGTTAATATTAAAGTTTAATTGTTTCATTTATTTTTGCTGCTGTTTATGTTATGGGGGTTTTCTAATCAAGGAAATAAATGATGTATCAACGAGAATGTCTTTTTTCTTCTCAGCTATTAATTAAGGAGAAATATGGTGAGCTAAAAAAGTATTCTTTCAGTTTGAATAACTGTTTTTTTATGTTTTTTTATTTTCTTGCTTTTTTTTTGCCAAGATTAAAAAAATATAGGTTCAGTTTTGCTGCTAAACGTCATTCATTGCGGTCCATTTTCTCGGCTAGTTGCTTTGATGCTAACTTTATGTATAATGTTGCTAACGGTAACCTCTTCTTCTTCTTCTTCTTCTTCTTCAAAAAATTTTTTTTTTGAATAAATAGCTGATCAAATTTGTTGCAAATTTTTTTTGTTTTGTACAGTAAGTGATATATAGAAATATCTGACATTATTTTATAGGTGTTTTTTTATGTGACGTTAATGCAGCAGATATGTGTCAACAGCAGCAACTATAGAATGAGGAACAACAAGAGCAGCTTTAGCATCGTCAGCAACAATAATGACAACGACAACAAGAACGACATTAAACGAACAGTTAAATATTCTAAATTCTTTTTTTTTCCTCTGATAAATTTTTGACAAATTCCTCTATCTTTTCTTCTTCCTTTGCATCAATTAACCACATTTTAACAGATGTACGGTGGTTTTTCTTCTGCATTTTAAGAACAATTACACAAACATATTCCGTTTATATTACCTGCAGTCATCTTTTCCAAATCATACGAAGTTCTATGACAATGGACTTTGGAAAAATGCCAGCATACGGTATATTACCCACAGTAAAGTTTTGTTTTGTTTTCCTTTTTCTCGTATGGTTGGGATCAGCTTTTTAGAATAACAAATTATAGTTAAGAAAAATAGAAAAATTCAATATTCATAAGAAATAATAAGAAATTATCTAGGGAATCGTAAACTGTTAACAATTCTGATAAACTTTTGAGGGTACATAGAAAATTACTAGTCAATTACAATTGAAAAGGCAACAAACTAAATGTCACTGATAATGATAGGTTTTTTATCGTCAATTTAGCTGTAATATCAATATATATGATGGCTGTTTATCAGGTTGACTTTGCTGTTTTGAACGCTTAT